TTTTTTTTTTTTTTTTTTTTTTTTTTTTGGGGTTATATCAGGAATTGGAAAAAATGGAAAGAGTGGAAGCAACGGAGGCAGATTGAACAACAAAATGCTGCAGATGAAATGAGGGAGGCGGAAGGTGGTGTTACAGCAGGGGAAGAGAGCGGTGATGTTCCGGAGGGGCAGTTGTGTGTGATCTGTTTGATGAGGCAAAGACGGTCTGCGTTTGTTCCATGTGGTCATTTGGTCTGTTGTCCGCGGTGTGCTCTCTCGGTTGAGAGGGAGTTGTCCCCCAAATGCCCCGTTTGTAGGCAGACTATTCGTAGTTCAGTGAGGATATATGATTCTTGAGGTACAAATAAAAATGGGTTTTGGTTGGGAGATTAGAGGTTGCTACTACTTATTGGTATAATATAATCTAATGAAAAAAGAATGTAGATATATGAATGTAACGCTGATGATGTTTGTGGTCTTATAAGTATCATGCAATTGCTATCCTTAATCTCTATGCAACGGAATCTTGTACTACATATATCTTTTAGTTAATGGTTGATTGATATATTGACAAAAATGTGAGTTTGAGGAAATAATATGACTAAATGTATTACAGAATTAATGTCCATTTTGTGAATTGGGTTATGCAATTTTTTTTATAAGAAATTACTTTGTGAATGGTGTTTTATGAAAAATAAAAAAAAATATTTATTTTTAGCAACTGTTATTATCTTTTTTCTGAAATGACATTATTTTGCAATGAAAACATTTAAAAAAAAAAACATAGCAGAGAAATCTCCATTTCGCAAAAGAAATGGTTTTATGTCATTTTCTGCATTTAACTTTGTTTATAAGTATGGTAGAAGTAAAAAAAGAACTCTATTAAAATCCTGGTAAGCCGACCTTTTTAATCTTTCTAAGGCTCACCTAATGCAGCTACCACACCACTATCTTTATCTTCACTCCGGTGTACACTCCCTTCAAGCCTAAAAGAAGGAAGAAATGCAAAAGAAAGGAGAGAAGGAAGAAGCTTGTGTGACACCCCGTGGCTGAGGCCACAACCTTCAACGCCAGCCATACATCATGTCAATACACATAGCCTAAGGCGGAAGATAAACGGCAATATACCACATAGCCTAAGACGGAAGATAGTGGTCGCAACTACGCACTCTTCATTTTATAGAGATGTACACAAAAACCGGTTTTACTATTCAAAACCGGATCTAATCCGAAACCAGATTGGGTCAAAAACGGTTTGGTCAAAACCGGATCGGATCAAATTTAAAACCGGATTATAAATCGGATCCTAATCCTAGATTTCAAATCGAATTTAATACCGGATCGTAAACCGGATTTTCCAAAAACCGGTTTGAAAACCGTCCAAATACCCTTAAAACCCAACAAAAACCGGATCAAACCGATTTATATCGTCCATTGGGAAACCGGTCAAATCCGGTTTGAAACCGGATCGGATTAAAGGCAAACCGAATTGACGATGACATAAACGAAACCGGATCGGATTCGGATTCGGGTTTTGTGCACCTCTAATCAAGGATATTAAATTTCAATATAAAATATCACTATGATATATAATACATAAATATAATCAAGTCTTACATAATATATTTTTTATCACAAAAAAAATATATTTTATGGTCTTAAAAAGTATAAAATATATCTATCAATTTTCATTTTTCTTGTGTATGTGAACTCTAACCTTCTACTAAAATTTATTTGTGTCCTGAGTTATATACAAACTTAAGAGTTCAATCCAAACATAACTATGATTGTTTGTCTACAAATATGATCTTTGTAAGGAAAATCTCGTTGAATTTAGCAAGGCATTTCGTATGCAACAAACATAACAACCACAAGGTATGAATGTCGACCTTTATTGCCTCATCAAGCAGATCATGCACAACTTCCCTTTTAGAATATCACTTCTTCTGCATAATTTGACATTTGTTGAGTTGTGGAGTCTAATTACTTAATGGCTATTAAGGTTATTAAAAGATGTTATGACTAGTTTAAATCACATATAGATAATGGTAAAGTGTGGGAGCAAGATGGCCAAAGTGCAATGCTTAAAGTGGAAAAGAACTTGAAAATGGTGAGGTGTGTACGTTACACGACCGTGTAATTTGCAAGGTAAATATTACACAAACTAACTTTTTGTTAAGAATTGGGTGTCAATATATCAGCGTGTGAGTATATTTCTAGATAATTTTCACGTTGCATAATTGTGACAAGTTACACCTTGTGTGATAGTTCACAAGTCATGTAGTTTGATTAAAACGGGCATTACATGCATACTATGTCTGTTCAATCAATACATGAACCTAATTAACCATCATTGTGATCTTCTACTTATTGAGATTGACTTGGGAATGGGTTAGATGCATAGTGTATTACTATTAATTTCCTATTGGATTTGTTGAAGCTTTTAAAGCTTATTGATCTTGTTAGCTGGCCAATATTAGTCTATATTGACTTGTTTGATTTATTTGATTGTGTTGAACCTTTGGCTTTAGATTATGGGTTGGTAAACCCTTTGACCTTGACTTTGACTTTGACTTTGAATTATGGGTAATAATCACCCTTTGACCTTATGTAATTTGGGTCTCTAGCACCCTACACTTTCGTTTGGAATATTTTTCATCACTTCAATTGATTTTGGGGGTTTGACTCGGAGTATGATGATTGATATCATCAATCACTCAAAATGAGTCAACCTCAAGTTGTAACGCCCCAAATTTCAAAATAAATTTTTTTATTTTTAAAATAAAATAAACACCCATTTTTATCAAGCTACATTAAGTCAATCCATTTGTTCAAAAACCATAATTCAAAATCAGAGTTATAAGGGAAAAAAATGCAAAATCTTGAATCATAAAATCGTCGATGTGCATGTGTACAGTCCCGCCTTCGCAATCCGATAAGTACCCGAAGAACATTTAAATCCACAACTGTAAGACAAAGCTTAGTAATACCCCACACAACAATACATATACACTACATGCATACTGGGCCCACAACATAAGATTGGATTGCCCCCGAGCCCACAACATAATACTGGTTTGCCCCTCCCGGGCCCTCAACTTATAACTGGCTTACTCCCTAGCCCACAACATAAGACGAGACTGCCCCCTCCCGGGACCTCATGTAACATTCGCATTTCAGGTTTTTCCCTTTTTGCCCTCAAACTTAAAACCTTTTGCATTTGGGTCCCTGGCCAGTACGTTGGGCATACGCTAGGAGTACGTTGTGCGTACTGGGTCGAAGAGGAGGTCGCAGAGACATCCACGTACGCTAGGCGTACGACCACCTGGGACAAACCCTAATTTTTAGGGTTTGAGCCCTATTTAAACACCTTAAGTTGCTCTTGGACCTTCTTATGACCAGCCTCCACCTCTCCAAATCCTGAGAACGAAACCCTAATTGCCATTTGAGTGTTTTGATCTTGGAAGTGACATTTGAGGGTGTTTTTGATGATCTTGAAGGAAGAAGAGCTCTTGGAAGTTGCATTGGTGTAGTTGAAGATTGTAATTCCAGAACCATCCCCAACTTGGAAAGCTTTTGGAGGTATAAAGCTCTTAACTTGATGGTTGTTTTGTTGGATTAGGTGTCTAAGCCCATAACTATAATTGGTATATACTTGAATTGATATTAACACAGTCCTTTTGGGTTGCCCTCATACTAACAACCGGACAAGATGACTTTTGGAGAAAGAGGTTGAATTTATTATTTGATTAATAAATTGAGATAATTGATTTACTAATGTATTATGGAAATAATATATTAATTAAAAATCATATTATTTAATTAATATTTAATCATAAATTAATTTGGAATTAATTTTGGGATTAAAGGAATTAATTAAAAGTGCAGGGGCTATTGAAATAATCCCTTTCTCTAAACTTTACAATATTATTACTCCAAACATGCTACATGCATATTCATAATATAATTTACAAAAGTCTGGATATTTACTAAAAGACTGAATACAAACCAACTATTAAGAATTTTTACAGAATTATATATATATATTACATAATTTCCCAAGAATTTATACACTAAGTACAAAAGTGATAATATTAACTATTCTACATCTTCTTACAGTACATAACTATACTGGATGCTTATCACCTACAATAGTTAAACATTGAGATAGATAAGCGGGTGACGCTTAGTGAGTTCAATAACAGTTACAATATAAGGCTATGTCATATATATATATATATATATATATATATATATATATATATATATATATATATATATATATATATGACAG